ATTTAAACATTTTCCTTATTCAAATAATTCCCTGCAAGTAAAAAAGTAAATACATCAGAGAGTAGTATTGCCCAGTTTTTTTCCCTTTGCTTTTTATTTGCAGGAATTTCAGGTTTAGAAAAATCTACATGAATTTGATCATTGCCATTAGCTTCTATTTTACCCCCTTAATTAACGCAGAGCAAACTTCAGTTCCACAGCCTATTTGGTTACTTTGGATTAAGACAAAGCAACATAAAAGAATAATAGGAAATCATCACAGATCTCTGTGACTCAGTTAACAAAGCTCTCTCAATCTCTGATTATCTGAAGGTCTAAAAATGTATGGCCATATTGAAATAAAATCCAATATGTCTAATTTTTTTCCCTGACATTCATTTTCACTGCACTAGGAATCTTGAACCTCTGATACCAGATTTTTTTTTCTTTACTTCATTGAAAGCGAACATTGGGAAAACAATCCACTGCAACAAAAATCCAGCCAGATTGCTTTCTCTATACACATTAGTCCTAAACTTGTACCTAAACATTCAATTATGATATTCCCTCAGGTTGGAAACATCTGGACCAGAAATGCCCTTGGCACTTGAGTTGCATATCTTTCTCCTTCATCGAGCAGCTGCAGAATAATGGAAGTGCTTAACCACCAGGGGACTTCTTACCTTCTTAAAAACCAATTAGGTACCGGTATCTTCTGTTGAGGCTCACAGCCTTCAAACATATCAGTTCACTATGACAAGAGGAGGAAATGAAGATAAACTGAACCTCAGAAATATATGACCCACATGGCTCAAATGACTTCAAGCCAAGGATTCACTGTAGAGCTCAACCCAATCATATTTCAAATGACATACTTTTTAACCAAGCAGGGCACAAATTCTGTAAAGAAAAATAGAACCTTTGGCTTCCAGATGGAACCAGATTAATGGATAGGGAAACCACGGCTAACCTGTTTTATTAGGCTGGCCATGTTTCTTGCTTTATAGAAGATATTTGAAGGACTGAAAAAGGACAATCCATATCAACCAGCCCTCCAACTGAAGGTTGTCCAGTCCTGCCCCAGTTTCAAGCTAAAGAATTGAGTTACTCATTCTCTTAACATCTCCCAGAATAGGTCTGAACTTTATAATTAAGTATGGATTTTACCAATAGGTATACATTTTATGAATATCATTTTATCTGGAAATGGGACTTCATACCCACTTGATACACTCCCCAGTTATTCTCCAGGCACCATTTCACCCTCTATATTCCATCTTCTCCTATTTATATCCCACCTTTATTAATTTCTTTTAATAAACAACTCAAGGCGATGAATTTAACTAATATTCTTTCCTCCTCCTATGTTATGCTTTTTCAGATTTTGCAACTGTGCTGTAATGAAGAGCTAGTTTTTCTAGTCTAATGATAAAAATGCTTTTAAAACTGCATCATGTATTTTACATGTTTTTCCCCCTATTTCTTTGGCTTCAGCTTGTGGAAAAAGGAACTCGAATATTTTGGCTTTTTTAAAGGCATTTTTAATGTGCATCTTTGCTAAATATGCAGCTGTGAATCATTGTAAGATTGGTATTTTTTTTAAAAAAAAATTCCGGCATAGATGTAGTTCAAGATAAGCAATTTGAAATGGCAATCTCACCACTTTTTTCACAACAGTGTAGGTGGTTTATGACGCGTTTGCACCTTTCTCCCAGTTAAAATATATGAATATATCACAGAATCAGAGTGGGAAAGGGCTGACTTGTACGAAAGCTGAGATGGATTTTGATGGCAAAACAGCACCCTACATTAAGCAGATTGTCTTGGACACATTCAGGCAGGTTCAACCATTCCTGTGGGATGAGATGGCATTGACTGCTGTAATCGATTACCTTTATCAGGAGTTAGATAGGTAGTGTGCTTCTCATGGTGTTTTCTGTGCTATTCAATACTATTGACTATGCTATCTTCCTGGATTGCGTACAGATGGAGACTGGAGGCACTGTTTCACCCTTCCTCAGTAGACAGTTTCAACGGGTGTGAGAAGTTAGCTTGCTGGCATCTATCTTGTTGAGTACTGCCAGGGTCAGCCCTTTGTCTTCTATTCCTCCAAGTAGGAACAACACTGTATCTGCTGCCCAACTCTCAGCAACTCTATACAAAGCTGTTGGGAGAAGTCATCCAAAATTTGGAGTGTGGTATATAGTTATTACCCAATCTAAAACACTACTGCTGGCTGTATGGGAGATTCTTGAATATCCTATTCTGAACTGAAGCAAGACTTTCTTGCACTTCTTGTAATTAATGTTATTTCTGGATGGGTAGGCATCTATCCAGGAACAGGTTCACAATTTGAGGGCCCTTCTGAACTTATAGCTCTGCTTGAGTAGTACATAGAAGCCATTATTAAAGATATTTGTGACTTTATCTGGTGCAAGAAGTCTTATTACCACCCTGCTGGACCACTACTGTATACAAGGTTATCTTTAAAGATTAGTCCAAAATGTTGTGCCTACTGTGCTACAGCTTTTAATGTTAAGAGTATGTTGCACTTAGGCTGTAATTCCTACAAGTGATTTCAGTTGGTTTGCAAGTGCATTTAAAGTATGATTTTTGACCTTCAAAATAAAATAAAATCCTTCATGTCTTGGTATGCGGATACCTGCAGGATCCAACCAGAATTGGCTCAACCCATTGAGGATGAGGCTTTAAACACTGTATGTTCCAGAGAATGTTCTACTTATATTACTTATATTGGCCCCCTTTAACTTTTTTTTTTTTATCAATTATTAGGTTTTTAAAATTCCTATTGTTAGATTGTGTTATTTCAAGGTTTTATCACAGATCTTTTAAAGTTTTCCATACTGTATCACATAGGGCACTGAGAATCATTGGATTGTGTCAGGATAAAAAGTGAATAAATAAAAATGAAATCAAATAATTAGACATGTAGTGAGTACTGCATTAATTAATACTTACTTACCAATTGCATTTGGAAAAAGATACGTCTGCACTGCAACACTTCAGAGATGAAAAGGATTCCAGTATATAATCCCGGAACACCTTTCCCATTATAGTGAGATGTACTATATTTTTATTTAAATTAGAATTATTTATTAATGTATATCTATACATTAGAAATATAGTCCTCTCTATGTAACTATTTTAAAAATAGAACAAGTGATAAAGAAAATGATGTGCAAGTAAAGTTCTTGAACCAATCGCATGGAGAATTTTAACCATGTTTTACCAAATACCAAAAAAGGGAAAAAATATTTCTGTGATTTTCCTGTTGATTAATAAGTAAATGTGATTATTATATAGGAGTAATTCAATTCATGTGTTTTGATATTTCTTGTGTGTTTAATATTCCATAGAGGTTAGTCTTTTGTTGTATAATCCTGAAAATAAGGAGTGAGAAAGATTCCTCTCCCAAGCTACTGTTCACCATGAATGGAAACAAACAGTGGCACGCAAAAGTTTTTGAAAACATTTCTGAAAGAAACCAATGGAAATTAAATTATTTACCTATATTTTAATATTCCAAAAAGAGAGACAAGAGAGAGAGAGTTAAGCCATTTGAACTTTTTTCTTTGGTTAAAGCAGAGGTAGGCTAACTAAGGCACCTTTTGGCAGACCTGGAATTCCTTGAACTATCCTGTTATAAATTTGATGGCACAATTAATAAAACCGTCAAGGTAGATTCTCATTATATTAAGGCAGAAAACACAATAAAAACATTATATGAGCTCTATAATAAGCTTAATTTTTCTTTAAGAGTAGCTGCTAGGAAAAACAAAGAAAGAAACCAAAATCAGGAGGGAAGTAAAATAATAAATCTGGAAAATGACAGCTTCCCAAAGTAAATAACATTGTTTTTCCTATTTTCCATCTCTGTTTATTCACTATGGTACTTAATTACTCTCGCCACTCCCAGGAATTAAATATGATTCCGATCACCAGAAAGATGCAGACCCTGGGTCAGAGTTGTCAACAGAACAGCAATGTGTTATAAATGAAGAGGCTATGATTAAAAAAAATCATGTTGGACAGTGAAAAATCATACACATTCAGAAACTGATTTTCCTATGGTTATGTATAAGCCTAGAAATAAGATGGGAGATCATTATGAAATCCCAACATGGGATTAAGTCAGGAAAATGAAAACAGACCTCAGGAGGAGGAATAGTAGTTATCAGGAAAGCTATATGGATATGACCTTGATATTACCAGGAATTGAGCTTGTTGTATGGTTTTGTCTCTATGGCCAAAGCAATACTGTAGCTCACAAGAGTTTGTATGTACATCTAAACTCCATCCATACTTCAGTGTGATCCCAAATCTGCTACCACCTGACTCACTTGAATTCAAATGAACTTGAAAAGAAGCATCTAATGTGCTTGACAGTTTCCTGGTCACACAGCATATTTGTCCACCTGCAACTAACATTTCTGAAGATAATAATTTAGTACAGGATTTTTAAAATGAGACTAGGAAGGTCCATCATATAAAAATTAGATCTTTTTCTCAGAATTGGGGGAGGGGGGATTGGCCTGCCAAAGTAATTTCTACAGCAGTCAGTCTAGAGTGGACTGGACTTGATGGGTTAACAGAGGCAAAATATAGAAAGAAATTTAATGAAATGCACAATCCCCTCCAGAGATGTCCCAGCTCCAGAGTTCTTTCATTGTTTTGCTAATTTATGATTCTCCTGTACTCTTTAAGAACAACAGTAAGGAGGCCATCAGTAAATTCAAAGATAAAAGCTCTCTGGCTTTCTTACAATTTGAGTAGTGAAGAAAAAAACACTGAACTATTATTACTGCAATTGTACTATTGTTCCTACAAAAACTACACTGCTAATCCCCTCTAGTATAACCACAGCTCCAGCAAAAATATAATCATGGGGAAATTGTCAGACAGCTAACAATGACTAGTACGTAACATTAGTCACAGAAATTGGGCATACTTTAAAATCAGATTGCTGGGGGAAGGGGAGAGAAATATTTTGAGTAAGACTAAGACTAATCAAGCACTTTTATTTTCCTGCATCTCATTCTATTTTCAGGCAATCGGAAGAAAAGACTCCCCTATGTGAACTTAAATGATTGGTTTTGCATGTGCTTCTAAAATTCTCTTTTCCACAGCTCACCCTCAGTTGAGGTAGAACTACCTCAATGAATTTAAACTGCTACTGTTTAAATACTGAGATCACTCTCAGCATTAAGCAGATAATACCCGATGGAGGTAGAGAGCTCTACTATTTAAAATAAAAGTACAAGTTCAAAATAATTGATATGGCATTAAAGGTCAAGAAGTCAATAAACCCATCTCTTAGATATGTCCACTGCAAGAAATATCCAGAAATGACATTCTTTCATTTTTAAAACTTTTCTCTGTCTTTTCCTGTGAGAATCGGATTGCTAGGACATTGTTTTAAAAAACATAACAAAGCAGAAACAACTTCAGGGCATTCTTAAAAAAAAAAAAGAATGATCAAGCAAATAAGCATATTCACATTGATAAGCTTTTGCAGGTTAAGAAAAACCAAGATACACGAATGATGGCCAATATTCTTGGGCCACCTTCCTTTTTTTATGCTTGGTTTTTTTCCCCTGCTGCTGTAAATTCACCTCAAGAAATTATATCAATAGAGATGAATCAGTATATCTATGAAGGGGCTTTCCATCAACCCAGATATTTTTGCCAAATGTCAGGATTTGACATTTGATGCTTTTATCTGCTATCAGTTAAATCGTTCATCCTGAGACTTTTCTTTCTGTTCATCTGATATTGAACTGAACGGTGTGGTTAATCAAATAAACAGCTATAGATCTGGCATCCAGTCCTTGCTGTTGTTAAACAGCAATATTTCAATTAGTCGCCTTGTTCTCTTTTGTGTAATCTCCATATCCTGCTGCCTTTTTAAAAAAAAAATGCATTGACCCTTGTGAAGGAGAGAAAAACAAAGGGTGCCTCAAGGGTGCTGCCTTTGCTTTCAGATGAAATATTCTTTTCGGTTCTCATCCATGGCATCTTGAAGGGTAGGGTCATTTTTCAGAGCAGCATCTGCGCTTTCGGCAAATTCAGTTCCCTTTGCTTCATTGGTATGGTAGGTCCCCTTGTGCCGGTACATGTACCTCAGCATCACCACCAAGAGGCAAATCAAGACTAAAACCACAGCTGCAATGACACCTACAGGGAAGGAGAAACATTTGATTTTTTTCCCATTAATAATTCCAAGTATGTTAAGAACACCCCCCCCACACACACACAAACACATTGGCCCCGGTTTTGATTTATTCCACATGGATGCCTTCTGTTAGGACTTTCAAAGAAAGATAACAACCCCACATCAACAAAGGGCCCTGGCATTGTAATGATAAGGATAGGCTGAGAGAAAGAGCACTTGCAAAAACAACAACATGGGAGCACAAAGATGCCCTGGTTTTCATTCTAGTTAACTTATAGTTGATCCTTATTTGGGAAAACATGTTGATATTTTCTAACTATCTTATCCAAGACATCAAGAGAGGACTAGCTTGAGGAAGGCTAGAGCAGGGGTCCCCAACCCCCCGTCCATGGACCAGTACCGGTCCGCGGCATGTCAGCAACTGGTCCACACAAACAAGCAAAGCCCCATCCACAGGATGCAGGCAGCACACAAAACCACGCACCCTATGGTCCGTGGAAAAACCTCTCTCCACGGAACCGGTTCCTGGTGCCCAAAAGGTTGAGGACTTCTGGGCTGCAGTATAAACCCAAGCCTTAAAAAAAAGTCTAAATGAGAACTGGCTACAGATTTGTGTAAGGATTATATAACCCAATGCAAGTTCCAACTACTTTGTTGTATGAACAAATCCAAGCATTGTCTAGCCAGAATTTAGACTCATTTCAAGAAATAAATTCATAAATTGTTAAAGCTGATCAAGTTTTAATCGAGAGTAAACCCAGTTCAGCTTGTAGAAGACGAGCAGGAGGTGCTCGTTAATTTTGCTGCTGATATAGTGGGCATTTGATACAATTTTATTTCTTCACCATTCCTGCCAATGGCTCATTTTGTAACTCTGACTAAATACATGGCAACTTATGGAGTGAATCAGAGGATCGTAAAAAAATCCTGGTGGGAAATCAGAGGCTGGTTGAGAACGTAAGAAACACTTAGCGAAATAAGGCATGTTACAAAAGGCAAAGATGGTCTTCCTCCTCAGATGTTGCTCAGCAACCAAGTTCTTTTACCTCTGCCTACCCAACTAGCTTGCATACAAATTGATCTAGCACTTTTTATTTGGCTCACTGGTTGTGATGTACTCCCAGATGTGGGCAGTTCGATTTTTGAAACAGGCGTAGTAGGCTAGAAATAATAGGCCTGTGCAAAGTGGCCATGTTTCTTCTTCACAAGGTACAGCAATTAGGCAATGTGCTTCATCGCTTAACACTGTGTTGTTTCAAAATCTCTTCTGGCACATTCAACCCACAGAAGCAATGTGAATCTAAGCACCATGGCAGCTTCACTTCATTTTTCAGAAGCAGGAGACACATTGCTTTGCAGTGTGCTTTGCTCAAAGCATCTCTGGAGTGAAACACACTTTCAAAGGGTTGCACAGCCCCAATGTTGGGTTCTAAAACAATCTTTCTCCTGAGATCTCAAAGCAAGCTCACAATAATTAACATTAGAACCTCTGTTAAGATATTGACTATATTAAAATAATGTGATTCAATTCACATAGACTTCATCATTTTTCTTAAGGTTTACAGTGGACTCCCCAAACACAATAGCCTGTAATGCCCTTTAGATACTGCACAGGAATGCAGTATCAGTATTTTCCTAGTAACTTGCAGAATGATGAAATTAATATTTTGGAGGATAGACCAAAAGGGAAATACGGGTAGTCCTCAACTTATGACCACAATTGAGCCCAGAAATTGTTGCTAAATGAGAAATTTGTTAAGTGAGTTTTGCCCATTTTATGACTTTTCTTGCTACATTTGTTAAGTCAATCACTGCAGTTGTGAAATTAGTAACATAGTTGTTAACTGAATCTGTCTTCCCCATTGGCTTTGCTTGTCAGAAGGTCACAAAAGATAATCACATGACCCCAGGACACTGGAATCATCATAAAAATGAACTAGTTGTCAAGCATCCGAATGTAAATCATGTGACCAGGGGATGCTGCAATGGTCATAAGTGTGAAAAATGGTCATAAGTCACCTTTTTTAGTGCCGTTCTAACTTCAAATGGCCACTAAATGAAATGTTGTAAGTTGAGGACTACCTGTACATAGAACTACATTAAAATGAACTACTATAACTAAATTAATTGCTGCAAACAACAAGCATAAAAATCAGCAAATGCATTTGAAACAAAAAGAATCAAATCATTCACGTTAACACATCAAATATTCCTTTTGGGAGTAATTTGAGCAATCAACTTCAGTTATCATGACAAGGTGCTAATGGGATTAGAATTCAACTGCTGTATTCTGCCTTGGCAGTTTTTACCAGGGAACAATTTTTTTTATAGACAGTTGATCATCCTTGTCTCCTGTGACTTGTGGGGAGAAGGAAGTAGCTGGAGGAAGAAGAAGAGGAGGCGTAACATTGTAAAGCTTTGGGATAATAATATCTGGGGTCATGTAAAACCAGAAACAAAATAGACCAGAAATTGACTGAGGCATCCCATTTTAGCAAATCAGCAATAGCAGGAGAGCTTGTCAAAGTATTGGTAGGAATTTTAAGGATTGGGGAAGACTGGAAGAAACGATTACATGCTACTTTTCTGATCATCAGATGGGCTCAGCCAAACAATTGAATTATTTATTTCCAATTCCAATTCTCTTAAAAATAGTTCATTTCTGCCCCAAAGTAACCAGCACAGCTGTAGAAGTAATATATAATTATTTATGCCAGGTTTGATTTGATTTCCTAGTTTGTGGTATTAATAATAATAATAATAATAATAATAATAATAATAATAATAATAATAATAATAATAATAATAATAATAATAATAATAAAGTTGGAAGGGACCTTGGAGGTCATCTAGTCCAACCACCTGCTCAGGCAGGAAACCCTATACCATTTCAGACAAATGGCTGTCCAGTTTCTTCTTAAAAACTTCCAGTGTTGGAGCATTCACAGCTTCTGGAGGCAGGTTGTTCCACTGGTTAATTGTTTTGTCAGGAAGTTTCTCCTTAGTTCTAGGTTGCTTCTCTCTTTGGTTAGTTTCCATCTGTTGCTTCTTCTCCTGCCTTCAGGCACTTTGGAGAATAGTTTGACTCCCTCTTCTTTGTGGCAACCCCTGAGATATTGGAACACTACTATGTCACCCCTCATCCTTCTCTTCGTTAAACTAGACATACTCAAGATAAATATCCTTTAAGATACTGCTGTTAGCAGCTCAACATAAATAAGCTAGAAGTTTATATATTATGACACCGTTGGCTCTCTCTTGTTTCTCTTCTCTGGCAGCATAGTTATCTGAGATGTGGTGCATGTTGTATTCCAAGGGTGTCAAACTCGCAGCATCACATGATGTGTCGCAACGTATTGTGACTTTTTTCCCTTTGCCGGAGCTATGGTAGGCGCGGCTTCTGTGTGACGCATCCGGCCCATGGGCCAGCAGTTTGACACCCCTGTTGTATTCTCTCTCCTGATTGTTGAGAGGAAAAGCTGACTGTGACAAAAATGTTTTTAACAATTTCACTATTAAAGAGGCACATTGGAAAAATTCCTTCTGCCTAATAACAGGATGAATATGTATCATGTTGGAAGGGATTATCAGAGATGTGTTTTTCTTTTGTTTTAGATATACTGTAATTTCCCTTTTCCTCTTTCTTTTTTCTATATTCAACTTTATTTATCCTTCTTTACTCCTTCCTTCATTTTCTTGGTTTTATAGCTTTTATGTCCCTTTTATGGAAGTAGCTAATCAACTCTTTAGTCATATTCTAACAAACAATAAAGTACTCTTCTATTAACAGTTCTCTCTCTTTTTCAAGATTATTATATAAGGTACAAGTATAAACAGGTTTCTTGTATCTTTTTAAAAAATGCTTGGATTTCCACTATTTTAGGATTAAAGAAATAGGAATTTTTTCTGTCCTCTATTTTATTTGCTTTTTCTTCTTTAATTTCCCTGAAGCTTCATTACCACTGATGATATCTTCAGAATACGCCAATCTGAGGACCAGAAAACAACCAGAACAAGACAAATCACTTCCGTTTCTCAAAGAACCATTTCCAGAAAAAAGCTAATCAACTCTAGAGTGGCTGGATTGGTACCTTTCAGGGGAGGGCAAGGAAACACTGGACGCTCGGGGGCGGGGCGGCGGTTGTGCGGGTGGACGCTCAGGAGCGGGGCAATGCTAGCGCTGGCAGACACTCGGGGGTGGGGCGGCGGTAGCGCTGGCGGGATGCTCGCTGCTAGCGCGAGTGGTGAGTGTATATGTGTGTACTGGCCTTCACGCGGCTTGGTGACCATGTGGCCACAGCCCAGTAGTGGGCCACGACCCACAGGTTGGGGACCCCTGCTCTAGACCATCTTACCTTTTTTTAAAAAACAAAACAAAACATTTTTTCAGCCAATTGTTTGTCTACATTGTCTTGCCCTTCTTTTATTAGCTATGCTTTTCAGCTGCCCCATCTACAAGCATTTTTTTTTTTAATCAGCAGTCTTAATTTATTTTACACTACTGGCTGTTTTTCTCCAGCTGCCTTGTCTTGATTAAATGCCTTTTTCACATAACCTGTGTTTCTTAGTAAAATTCAGGGATGCAATTATCAAAATATTTTCCAAATGCTGTTCATTCTCCTGGTGAGGGCAGAAATTCATAATGTTCCATCCTATAATAAACAGTATGAATTGATGATTACAGCTACCTTCAAAAAAACATTTGGTTATATTGACAAGATGCCCATTGTGTGATCACCTTCATCCTCACTGGGACTCTTCAGACACTGGTAGCCAAAATGTTATTCTATATGGTGCCTCCTGGTTGTGAATGTAACAGAAAATAGCACACAGGATATACACTGTGTAAAAATAAATATCCCATGGAAGTCATATAAAGCCCCATACACGGAGCATGACATAATACTTGTATCACACTTGAGAGCTTAAGGGAAGAAGAACTGTATATAGCATTCTGATTATGCTTCCAACAATGTTCTCTCTCTTGTTCATTCCATTACTTTCAACAAGTAATTTCAAAGGATCTTTGTTTCCTAATATTTCTACTAATATATGGGGATAAAGAGATAGATAGATATGATTTCTAAAACATTCCATTTTTCAAGGGGATAGTTTGCCAATATTTTGGAATATAAAATGTCTCATAGTGTCTTAGTTGAGCTTCCATACTACAGCGGCATTTCTCAATTTGTTCTGTAGTATCTGAAGCCTGAATTATTGCTCCTCTCTCTTTTTCATGTCTTCATGAATTTAACTATACATTGGGAAATTTTAAGTGTTCATATCGATGTAACAGAAAACTAGAGAATATATCTTTCACCTTCATACCTGTTTTCTACTTTATGTGGAGGCTCCCAATATGTACCAGGAGATAGTTTTGTGGAACAAGTTATCTATTTTACTCCTTTTCCTATAATATGGGTTCGGTGATAAGGTTATAGACAGGGTGGTGCCAGTAAACTCATCCCCCACTCCACTGATAGAACTACATAGCAACACACCATTAATTTTTCTTAGGGAAAAAAAACACCTTCATTCAGTGGAGAATACTTTTTGTTTTGGTTAAAGATGGAAAGTCTTGTTTCACTTCTTCCAAAAAACAATTTGATGAAATATAGTCTTTGTTCGAGTAATATTATATTCTTACCTCCAATGACTGCAATATCTGTGCTTGTTGGAGAGCTTCCAATATTTGCACCTAGAAATAAAATACATAAAATTTAATTAGACAGGAGATTTCAGGTAATAAATAATCACAGCTACTCTACACAGAATAGAGCAAGGCTTTATGTTACCCCTTCCTTTCAGGTTTTTCCTGTGAACCTAAGAATGTGAAGGATTGGAATGACAAAGAGCAGGATTTATTTATTTTAAAAAAACCTTATTAAAAACATTGAAGTTGTACAATATTATACCATATGAAAAGGAAAGGCCATATTTAAGCAGTCAGTCTGCAACCCAAGAAAACATTTATTAAACAATCACTTTGCAAGTCAAGAAGTCTCCTATGAAATATTACAAAACTTTGCAGGAAAAAAATTGTGGGTGCAATTGTGTCTGAAAAGAAAGACAATATAAGAGAGACAGCATTTCAATATCAAGATTCTCATGATAACTTTAGTTTTTGGCATTTTGAGCCTCCTAAATGATAATTTGAGGGTGGGGGGCTGAAACACATGGCAGGAAAATGGTATATGGTCCTTAGTCTCCGGGTTGCTGACCTATGTTCTATACCAGGGGTGTCAAACTCAATTTCATCGAGGGCCGCATCAGCATTGCGTTTGCCCTCAGGGGGCCGGGTGGGTGTGGCCTGGGTGGGTGCGGCCTACTGGGTGAGCGTGGATGGAGTGGATGTGGCCTACTGGGTGGGCGTGGCCAGATCTACATAGTTTGTGTCAAGGATGCCTGTGGTGGCCTGTGCAGGAGTGGGACAGATCTGAGGGTCTCTGGCAGAAGGGGGTGGGACCAGGGCAAGTGCCAAGGCATGGTCCACTGGAGGAGCCTCACTGTTCTTCTCAGGTCATGCAGGGGAGGATGGTGGTGCGGGCTGCCCGGAGCCCTGGGCAGCAGAGGTCAAACGCCCAGCCTGGCCCTTGAGCACCTGCGGCACCAAGCACAGCCCCACTTGCCCAAGGGGGCGTCCAGCTGCACTTACCTCCTCCTCAAGGCTGCTGCTGCTGTGCTTGCTCTCCTTAGCCAGGTTGCTCATGATGGGTACAAGGGCAAAGTCAGAGGGAGGCCCATTCCCTCTCCATGGGAGGAGACCCGGCTTTGTATCCAAAGCTTCCTTAGCAATAAGATGGGAGACCCCCAGGATAGGCCAGAAGGGGGCAAGGGGATGGTGAAAGGGTAGCAGGGCAGGACTAAGGTAAGACTTCCCTCAGACCGTCCCTCTCCTTCTTTCCTTCTTTCCTAAGTACAGAGTGGTGGGAAAATATTTGAGATAAGGGGGGGAGAAAAACAGGCAAGAAACGCAGCTGGGGAGGTGTCACCTCCCCAGCATGCACCCAGGGGGTGGGGCCAACGCGGCAGGGGCTGGTTCCTTGCTGTTTCCAGACGGCCTTGTGGAGATAAGACTGAATGCATTTCAGCATAGATGGCCACCACAAAATTGTACATTGGCTCCTGGCCAGCCTGGGCCAGGGCAGCGGGGGCCGTTCCCTTACTTTTTCCAAGATGGCTTCGCGGGCCACATGAAACCACTTCGTGGGCCGCATCCGGCCCCGGGCCTTGTGTTTGATATGTCTGTTCTATACACTAAATGAAAGAAGGCACTTATCTAAGAAATAAGAAGGCATGCCCCACCCACTAAATTCTTGAAGGCATTTCTAACAGCAATCCAACCTGCTAGCTTTATTTAATAATAGTAATAGTAGTAGTAATAGTAGTAGTAATAGTAATAGTAATAGTAATAATAATAATAATAATAATAATAATAATAATAATAATAATAATAATAATAATAATAATAATAAAAAATTGGAAGGGACCTTGGAGGTCATCAGGTCCAACTCCCTGCTCAGGCAGGTAACCCTATACCATTTCGGACAAATGGCTGTCCAGTTTCTTCTTAAAAACTTCCAGTGGCAGGTTGTTCCACTGGTTAATTGTTCTAACTGTCAGGAAGTTTCTCCTTAGTTCTAGGTTGCTTCTCTCCTTGATTAGTTTCCACCCGTTGCTTCTTGTCCTGCTTTCAGGCACTTTGGAGAGTCGCTTGACTCCCTCTTCTTTCTGGCAGCCCCTGAGATATTGGAACACTCCTATCATGTCCCCCCTCGTCCTTCTCTTCATTAAACTAGACATACCCAATTCCATCAACCTTTCCTTATATGTTTTCCTTATATGTTTCTCCTATAATGACAGGCATGACAAGAATTTTAAGTACAGAGAATAGAGATGGCTTCCACAATAAACAATTCTTGAAGGGCTCTGAGGACTGGCAAGAAGGAAGTGGCAAAGAAAGCAGGGTTGAAGGAAAGTTCATTCTGCCTGCCCCTATGCATACCTCTAGGCACTTGGAGTGAGGGTGAACTTCTGAATTGGGCGTATAATAAGGAGAACTCTTGAGACCTTTCCTTCACCTCAGCTTTCCAATTCCCTATTCAAGTTTTATTAGCAGAGCACTCAAACTTGTGAGATCCCCTCAATTTGAAATGAAACAGTCCAACTGCAGATATGCCATCTTCAATTGAACAATCCTCCCTCAATTGATTGTGGAAAAGCAATGAAGAAGATGCATATCTGGGTCATTTGATGTAAGCAGCTGCAGAGGGCTCTGCTTCTTCTTTGTCTTTCTTTTACACCAGAGGAGCATTTGACTCTCAGAACCCCAATTACACTCTCTACTGGATTATAATAATGCCAGAATAGATAATTTCACAATTTTCAAAGCATATGAAAAATCCAACTATGGCCTTTTAAGAATCTGTGATAAGAAATTAGTTTGAGAGAGTTATTAGTGCCTAAAAAAAAAATAAAGCATGAAATCGCAACCTTAATTATAGTTTTCACAGGAAAGGGGAAACCCAAACTGATAAAAAAGCAAAAGCCTTTGCAGCAAAGGAGGGGAGAAAATTTCAGACAATCCCCCCTTTCTTTCCCATCTTACACAGTAATAGGATACTTAATACATCAGTAAATTGAGAGTCTTTCATTCCCTTAGACCTCCCTTTTCTTTCTGCTGTGATAGCTGCAATTAAGATTCCTGTACTTGAGGAAAACTGTATTTGAAAAATGGGATCACTGCCAATTTTTGGCAGTTGCAACCAGAACTACAGATAGCTACATTTTGGTAAAAGCTTCTTGAATCCCGTGCAACAAGGGTAAGCAATTTGCTAGGACCAGAGGCTTCTCATTGGCGCACTCACAAAAGACTGTCATTGAGGGTGTGTCACTGTTCTAAAAGGGATGTCATAGTGAGCATGGCCAGTCACAAAATACCCATTTATTAGAAAGCTAACTTTCTGGAGAGATTGATATTGATACTGGAGAGGAGGGGAAAAAGCAAACCAAGGTATTAAACCTTAGATCTTGTTGGGATTCTGTCTCAATAGAAAGTCAGTTTTGGTCTAATCTAATGGTTAAGGTGCTGGCCTAGAAACCAGGAGATTGTGAGTTCTAGTCCCACCTTAG